TAATATGGCACTTTGACATATCAATCCGTCCTCCTGTTATTTTTCTCTCATATCTGAGCAACTTATGGGCAACAAACATCGTATTGAAGGGGGTTTTGATGAACAAAAACGTAGGCCCCACACGCGCTCGAACCTCATCGCTCCTGAATGCTTAGCCATTAGACCACATCAGATCATGGATGGAGTGACTGCAATATTTCCTTACACCGATTAATCATTGAAAATACTAATGAGTAATAGGACTTACACAGTTCTAAGGTGCAGACAAATTCGTTACTTGGATGAACTGACGAAATATTGCTTCAATATATCATGCATACTTAAATCGAACCAGAAAAGAGTATTTGACACAACTGTACTTGATCCTCATACTCCACACAAATATTTTCCTCTTTAACCGTATATTCTTTACTGTTTTGTGGAGTACTCTTATGCAGCCTGGTTACGTACCTGGTTATAAAAGGCGGTTATCATAGGCCCAAGGTCATACATTTGATCGGGTTTGACAATCAGTCCAACTTCTAGCAAGTTTACACTTTTACATATATGTATTATAAAGTATTTTTTTGTTTTCATACTTTTTCGTACACAAGATGGCTACACTATGTTTATTTTCTTCCAGAATACCAATCCGTTCTGGAGGCCAATCACTTACGTGGAACCGAACAATTGTCAATTATATTTATGTATTTCCATTTCGTATCTTATTATTTTGATGCAGGCAGTGGAGCAGTTCTTCAGGTTTGATTGGTTTTCACCTTTACCTTTGAAGTAGATTCTTCTTTACTTTTTACTTGAGGGCGACTCGAGTGGCAGGTGAGTAAACACCTGATAGCCGGTCTGAGCATGGAAAAATCGTACCTCACCAACATGGTGTTGGGTAACTCGCCCGCGGCACTTCCTCAGATATTCTTGTTCCACATTCCTACACTCTTTCTACTGAGAGCATGTAGCAAACCGTCAGCGATAATTGTAGAAGAAATCACATGTTACAAAATAAAATGACAAGCTAGCAAATGAAGAAACATCCATGAACTATCGTTGATTGCTGACGGATATAGTTGTCAGTGACAGGAATTGAAACAGTGAGCGAGTTTATAATTTTCCCTAGGGTCGAGAAAACAGAACTGATGTGTTTCTGATAGCTAGGTTAATCGAACCGACGTTCCTGCGGAAGTCGATTCTAGGGGGAAGCTTGTAGCGTGGCGTCGAGTCGAAATTAACTATGAAAACCGCTACCAAGAAACTCGTACCAAATGACTCCATAAAATCCCCCAGAAGCCAAATATCAGAAGGCAGTTAGTGGAATAAGTCGAGATATATTTTCTGGCGATCTCGTGGTATCGAAAGGATGCCGAGATCGTGCCAGGATGCAAGCTTGATTACAGAACGTAACCGAATTCGCGCGAAGTCACAATCAAAGTGTAAGAATAATGGATGTTTTTAGCACAGTTAAACAAAAGCACATTAAAACAAACACTGGTACAGTTGGTTATAATAATAATTGTTTTTATTAAACCAGTCGTGTTCTCGTGATAAATGTGAGTCAGTACAAGCTAATGTAACAGTATAGGTTGGTTGATTAAGAGTTGACCTCAAACAACCAAGCATATGACAAAACAGTACAAGTCAAGTATTCATTCACTTCCTCATTCTGCATAGGCGTCGTATTTCTTATTATCTTATATTGAATGTTGAGAGGCTTTGTTTGTCAATATTCGGTTTGAACAGAAAACTAACGAGCTGAAGTTTATTCCATCAGTCCAAACTACGTTCTTTGGTATACCATATGAAGCGATTTTAAATAGCTCGTATTAAATTGCATCAAAATACATACCTTGTGCTCAATTTAAACGGTTCTAATTTAAGAAAGAAAACAAATTATATCAAAAGTACGAAATACCTAGAACGGTACAGCCTGTGCTACACGGTCAAAAGTTTCTTTAACACAAAGTAGAGTTAAATGCCTGAGAATCAACAAAAGTACTTCTAACAAGATGGGATCACATATCTCTCTGAAAGGATTTTGACAATGTTTCCACGCCATAACTTTGAGTTTAGTGAAACACTACCTAATTGTCAATGGTCCGTCAACATGCAACAGTAAAATTAAGTAGTAAAAGGTGTATTTTTAACAAAGGCCAAATAATGGAGGCCCAGACAATGAAGACTGAAGAACATAAAGTGTGAGTTACAGAAACCGGAATAAAGGTTAGAATACAAGACAGGGAAAAAGAACAAATAAATAACAATATTGATAAACAAAATTCTTTGGAGGAGTTTTCAATGAGTTCTTTGCGTTACAACCTACACAAGAACCTTCTGTTTTCTAAATGTTAGCTTTGGCGAAGTACAACTTACAAATTGTATGAATTTACCAAAAGATCAAAACTATGGATGAGCGCTCATCAGTATTTTTAAAAAAAACTTTATTTTTCAACCACAAAACCATATGTTTAGGGCGGAATATGCGTCCTCACTACTGCTCAGTGGACTTCACTGCACAAAAGAGACTTATTCAATGTAAGGTTAATAACTCTATCAATGAAGCTGATATATTTGAGAACGAGTTATTCAAATTGGAATTCGTTCATTTGACACTTACAGCTGCACAGTGACTAAACAAGACTCCACTGTGTGACAGAGTTGAAGTTAAACTAGGAGGGGTATAGTGATGGTGTATTATAAACATAGTAGCAGGCTTTCCAACGTTTTAACTTGTCATTGATAACATGTGTTGGTGTCATAATTATGACTCGCTATCAAGCAGCATACTTGTTAGTGCGCGTTTGACAAATTTTTATGGTCGCTTGTTTGTCAAATATCTTGAGCTGAGTTGCATGTGATCGGTAGATAAAACGAAGGATAATTAATTTTACACGGAGAAGTTTTTTATCTTTTTAAATAATCATGCTAATTCTATTCTAGTCAATAGTTAAACAACAATCTTATCATAAAAGAACCGTGGATTAGATTATTAAGTGTACAAAAATAAACAATACTGAAACGTTTTACTCCAAAATATGAAATTTTAGAACTCACATGAGTTTAAAACTCGTGTTTAAATCAATAAGATCACAAATCAACAAACAAAATTAACTATTTATAGAACTAATTAAACATCATTTTCTTTCCTGTATTATTTTATAAATCAATTATCTAGTCTAGAGTGGCTTTTTTTAAGACCTCGCTGTGCTTTAAATCCTTTTAATACTGGTATCTAGATCATATTGGTGACCATATTCAATTTGATTTATTGTGATACGCTCTAAGAAATAGTCAAGAGTTATTAATAATCAGCTTGTCGGCATCATATTTATTTTTGCGATTTGTGTTTACAATATAATCAATATCAAAGCTGTCTTCAAAGATAATTCGCTTTCCATAAGAGCTGTAATCTTAATGATTGCTGTTTACTTTTATGGGTTTGAGATAGTATTACGAATCAAAAGCAACACAACCAAACGGTGACAAGATACAACCATAGAGAATAAAGAATTTATAATTTGAAGTCAATCACGGATTTAAACGAATAGTAGTGAACCATTTAGACTGTGAAATAATTGACTTAGTTTGCATATCAATGGTGTACATAATCGATGTCAATGATTGAGGTCCACTCAAGTTGGACGGGATTATTTGACCTTCTGCCTTACATCAAAGTCACATCTGGAAGTCAAAATCTAACCTGGACAACACGCTACTGACATCCAGGAGTTTTTACTACTTCGAGGACTGTATAGAATAAACGTAACCGTAATAAAGAAACGTATTGTGAGAAAAGACTATGGAAGTACATAATAGAGCCGCAGTCCTATCGGCAGTTTTATGAAGTCCCACTAACCGATCCACGTAGGTTACCTCTAACAATGCTCGGTATATTGTCTGACATTCAGTGGTCTCCTGATGAGTGTTTTGACAAGGGCTCAGTGACAATTTATTCACCACTCTTCCACATCAATTTATGATATTTTATTTCGATTCTCATTTGTAAACAAAATGTTATTACTTCTCAAGAATATCAAGGTATTATAAAAACAAAGACGTGGAGTGAATTTACGATCAACCGTGATGTAATCAACAACTGTTTCAACATAGTATGTATTCAAAAACCCAAGTCGGACTCAATACATGACATTTCGGTTTCATGATAATTATTAAATCTCTAAACTTTTTAACAAAACAAATCAATTATTCAATAATCGCTGATTTTTATTGATTTTACGGCTTTCATTAATAGAAAAATCACAACTTAACTAAATAAATAAATCTTACTGATTACTCAATACAGAGTCATTGGAATCAATAAATTGTTTACAGAATCCAGACAATTAGCTTGTTATAAGTATCAATGCTAAGATTGAAATTGATAGTTTCAAATAAATTGAGCATTGGGTAGAAAGTTAATTATAAATAAATTTATTGTGATATTCTAATAAGTAGAAAAAAATTGACGTTTTGATGTTTCGTAACTTAATGTAAGTCACTTCTTCAGAAAAAACAAATAAATAAATAATCGAAACAAATTAATACAAGTTTAAATAGCACAAAGGAACTTGTGTTAATTTATTTCGGTTACTTATTTGTTTATTCTGAATAAGTGACTGACATTAAGTTGCGAAACATCAAAAACTCAATTTTTTCTACTCATTAGGATGTAACAATAAATATATTTATTATTTAGCTTGTTAATGTTTTACTATTTAATTTAGTACGTAATTAGTTGAATGACTTACATCGATGAAATACAACTGTGTTTGTAAACGTTTAACTAATTAACTTGAGTATAAATTAAGGTAAATGACAGTTGGTTAGCGTAGCATGGATGTATTATTGTCTTCTTGATAAATATTATGGTAGATCCACACTAATATACAGACATGATTAGGTTCATACAAAATAAGAGATTGCACTACAAAATAAGGGTGTTTTACATAATAACAGTATAGAGTAATCAGTTAATTAAAGATTATGTGATGTTTACTCATTGAATTCTGCATTTAATCACAATTTCTTGGTGGTGCGTTATAAGGTATTGATGCAAAACTTCGAATAGATCTAATTGATTCGCCTTCTTCTTCTTCTGGTTGATCCACTGGTTTGACATTTTTATATTGTCTTTTTGTTGAGCATGCTTTACAAATCGCACCTATAATCCATATAATACAAATTAAGCTCAACAGTGAGAAGATCACCGCTAATAATAAAGTAATCCAACTAACTGTGGATAATAGAAAAATAGAAAAACAAAACAAATTTAAAATTGAAATATACTGTATAGTCTGATATATTAATTATGATAGCTCAACGTTTCCATGACAAATTGGTTAAAAATGTTTTTTGAGATTGATTTCATTTGTAAATTATATTTATCACAAGCCTGAAAGTCTTAGGTTCGATTCCTAGCGTACTACTAAAGAGTCGCATACAATGATATAACAGCTATACAGTGCTGCCTGATTTTTAATGATATAATAAATATTATTCCTAGAAAAGGTTTATGTTTCCTCGTTATTGATATACAAGAGTGTGTTTGATCAGTCTTTGTTAGTATATGCGATTGTTCAGAGGATCCTTTAATGTGTTCTATTAGTAGTTCAAAACTTATCATACAATTGTCAGAAAACAGTCAATTTTGTTAGTAAACTTATATTACAGCGATAAAAAATAGTTTCCTTTTATCGAAAGACCATTTTTGAAAGCTAATTTATTCACTTTCTTTCAATAATGTTACCGTTTAAACACAGAACACGGTGTGAATTCCAAAGAATAGACATCTTTTAAACCCTCTGACAGTTTGAAAACTGAAAATCTGTCGAACATAGAGACAAGTATGTCAAATGCTGTTTTTTTACACCTCTCAATGCACCACATAGACAGAGAGTTCTTGATTTTATATGTTAGATAGCTTTTCAGTTTTTGAGGTAAATTTACCTCATTCACTATCTTCCTATTACCTATAAAAGTTTCTTCTTATTTGAAATCTATCAGATGGATGTACCTACAACATTAAAGAGTTGATGCACACTCTGGGATTCAATCGCTTTATTTTTTGCTTCCAACTCAGAAGCTTTATCCACCTAGCTAGTAAGTTCAGTAGGTCAATGGCATCTGTAATGGGCTTGAATATTAACACCAAGTTGTGTCAGGTGCATATAACTGACGAGTTACAAATGGGACAAAACGCACATCTTGGATTTCAGTTTTAACCATACTCCATATATTCTATAAATTCTTGTGAAACAAACGCTATATTGATCTGATCCGCTTAGGATGCACATATGCCAACTAAGGCTGATTTAATTTCCGTCAACATATCAACTACAGGATAATCCAAACCATTAGAAATTGAATTAGGAATATTGTATAATTATATAATACTAGAATATATTAACGTTTAATCAAACAAGACTGATTTTGCATTATTTGAACAATATGGCTATCGAACAATTCTCAAAGCATTAAGAATCCTCTAAAGTACACTTTAACTTAAAAAGTTAAATAATGGAAACTTTAATAAAAGTGTACTTTACTAACAAAACTATCAGACTTAAGACAATAACTATTGAATTCTTGTGCGAAATTTAAAACACGATAACAGAGAGTTTACAGCGTTTTAAAAGCTAAGATGTATTAACCAGTGTTTAGTCACTAAGGCACTGATAGTTATTAAGATGAGAAGACTAAAAAATAGGGACCATATATTACGACTTTTTCAAGGTAATTCAAATAAACTTAACATTCAAAATCAAAGTATTGACTTCATAAGTACGTATATATTTAGTTACAAAACATTCTTTCATTCTATTCCTAACCATTATTCCCAACCCTAGCCAGGAATTCATACATTAACCTTAAATTCTAACCTGATCTTAATCCAAACATAAAACCCAAAACCTTAATCCAAAATTCTAACCATTTTGGGAATTACATACATTTTAATGCGATAAAACTTGAATCTTATTTCCCAACCTCATTTAAAAAGTCACAGAAAGCTGTTATTATGTTATATATAATTTTGTTAAAATTACTATTGAAGAGAATTACTTAACTGTGACTATGCATAAAAATACAAAATAACTTACAACGACAATCAAGTGGAATACTGGGATCAAGATTTTCCGGAGCAAAAAATACATTACAAACACATGTAGCATTGCCAGCTATATTTCTTACACAATGTTGATGTGAACCACATGGAATATGACTACAGTCCGGTATGAATGGTTTAATATAAAACAGCTTTAAATAAAGAGATAGAAACATATTTTTTTTAAAGAATAGAGCAGATAAACTGAGATCAAAAGGTAATTTATCTAAACGAAGATAATTTTTAAAATGAGACGAATAAATGAGAATGACAATTTTTTTAGTGTAAGATGGATAGCGGCCAGCTGTGGAATACAGGATACGCGTTTCATCCTATTTGTGACTTGCCAGATGGATATACCTGTATCTCAGAGTTAATATTCACTCTGAAACTCGAAGCCAGTACTGTTCGCATCAAACGTCATCGTGTTATCCATTTAGCTATTGATTCCTTATAGCCACTTGACAGCTGACAAGTCCCAAATAGGACGAAATGCGTATCTTGGATTCCACTGTTGGCCATTATCCATCTTTGCCTAGAATTTAGAATTTATGAAGATCTCTATATTCTCCTAATTGTAAACTTTCATTTAATTCCGAAATTATCTTTATACTTTTTTGATCCTTAAAATTAATTATAAATCTGTTATTCAGACAATCGAGTTGTACTCAATGTTGTCAAGTCAATTAAGTTTATAGTATGCAAGACTTCTGATATATTTTTCTGTTGACTTTGCAAATGATATTTTTCACAATAATAATGTGATTTTAATTAAAGAATAAATAAAAAGAAAACTGAGCCAGTATCCAAAGGTGTTAATGTCTAACTTCAACTAATCCACGATATTGTGCGACCGTCCAACATTGTCTTCAGTGAGTAACTGTCTCACAACAGACACGGTTGAACTCGTGGATGAGGATTACTCACAGGTCCCAAACTAGAATAAAACGGCCGTCCAGTACTTTCAGGTTTTCAATAATTGTCTAACATTGATCCATTCATGATATTCATCTAAACTCAACAATCTCTACAACCCAATACTGAAAAAGAACACTGTTAATTTTTACGATATTTTATTTCATTATTTGGATAAGTTGTTGATTTTCCGAGCGAAAGGGACCAGGTTAGAGTCCTAATGTCAATATCAACGCGTTTCAGGCACATCCAGACAACAAGTTTTAGCGAGACTTTAATTTGTGGACGAACCAGTCACGTATAATATAACAGGTGTTTGATTTTTGACACTCTCAGTGTCAGTCTAGCGTCGCTGAAAGGTCGTCCATAAATTATAGTCTCATCCGAATTTCAAAAGGGATGAAATACTAGCCAACCCTTGCCCGTAAATGCTTCTGTTTGATAGCTATTTTGAGGTAAGCCACTTAGGGTGCACATATGCCCAAAGAGAATGACCAATTCCAGTCCTTAACTCAAACATCTGAAAAAATCAAATCCTTACAGATGACTTCTTAAATGAAGTTATTTTTATATGAAACATGCCCATCTAAATGAAACGATGCTGAAGGCACTTCGTTAGTCAAGTATACATTGCTTACGTATATCTAAGATTTTTCAACATAATAATAACTTTTGACGAAAGTGATAAAGGAAATAAGTTTGGTAGACTGAAGTGTTTAGCTTTCTCGATTATTTGGGAATATATATTCTAGGCTTTGACCGATAAATTAGTCCACAAATACCTTACAAGCATTATGAATATAATAAAATCAAGAAATTTCACGTTAACTGAAATGTCAATGATTATAATAAAAACTTTATTTCAACGAAGAAGTACACAAAACGGAGCAAACCCTTAAGCATGGCTAACAAAGATGGAAGATATGATAAATCTCGCAAATGATGTATGGTTCTACTTGGTTGGCAAGATGATAGTAGAAATTAAAAACGGATGTTGAGTATAGCTTTACACTTATTCAGATCTCATACCCTAAATGTGCTAATCAAGTATATATTGTGATTTTTTTATTTTTGGCGCGTTATGATGTGGTAATTCATATATACATATATTCACGTGAGATAAATCGTATTGTCTGTTTTCCCCCTTGTTATGATTTGATCTTAAAGATGGAAGAACTTCAAGTGATCCCGTGAAGTTTCGTCAAATTAGTTCATTGAATCAGTTTATTATCAGTATTATCGATTGAAGCATTATAGAACAAGATCATATAAAAATAATCATTGAACATTAATGACCTTACTAATTTAAATAAAGACAAAGTGATTTAGGAATCATGAAATCCTCAAAATGATGAGTTTGTGAAACTTTTTAAAACGAAACAGTGCAAAATTGTGTATGTATACATGTTATAATTCAGTTTATATTGATATACATTGTGGTGTATACTACTTATTTCTGTCGACATAAGTAGTATGTAACACCACTCAGAATTGGAATGCCTGGGAGCAAAATGTTGAGAAGATCAAATTGAAGAAAACAGAAATGAAGGAGCAATCAAGTTTGTAAGAGACAAATGATCGAAAATGTGCAAATAAAGTATTTAATGTATGGTTTTCATATTTTACTAAAACACTCAAGATCAGTCATCCCCACTTGAATTCTCATTCACTGCAACATGATTATCTATGGGTAGAATTAGTTTATTTGTATTATTTGTTCGAATAGTATTTACGATATTACTGTTATATCTTGACAAAACTGACTAATTAAATTCGAGTTTCCTATTGGCCTACGATACTTGGAAATTAAGCAATTCCTGAGCTACTCTAATATGAATGATTCTATTATGAACTCGATAATTCTAGCTGGCATATAACACTGCGATAATTGACCTCTAGCACAGGAAGAAGAAAGAATTTAGACAGAACTTGGCATTCAAAACAAAACAACTTGACATCGTACAACTCAGTATATACAATAACGAAAGAATGACTTTCAAGCACAAGCAAAATTTAGTAAGCTAACAATGGTGCCATCCAGTGAGAAGAAAGCAAGGGTCATATGAGAAACTGATTTGAGAAGAAAAATAATCCTAGTGATCACAAGCACTAGTAAGATTTAAACATGGTTGACAAAAACTGAGTAATCCTATGGGAAATATATGTCTATAGGAGAATAGAAAAGATTGCATGATAAATCAATTCGAAACTCTTATTATCAAATGTGGTTATGCAATAATCAGGGGATAAGGAAGAATATAGTTTATGGGTAAGATCTGAAGAAAAACGATAAACATAAAGGTTATAATCATAATAAAAGACTGAATAATAATCAAGCAAACTAATGTAAGTGTAGTAATAATAATAACAATAACTGATTAGAGATTAAAATTGCAAAACGATCATTTAAAGACTTTAATAATAATCAAATAAGAGTGAAGAATTAAAGAAAATAACAACCCGAAACATACAAATAAAGAGAGTCAGGACCACCGAAGGATGAGAGCTTGGACGAATCGTTTCCACACTCAAAGTTAGGGTTTGAGTTCATGGATTGCCAATGCCTCAACCGTGTATAAAATATCGATTCGACATATCTTCGATCCAGTACCTTTGACTTTGTAAATTAATTTAAAAGAAAAATCACTCTGAGTTTTTTGCTTCCAATTTAACCTACCCCACATGAGCAATTAAATTTATAGATACATATTGATGTGGCCCAAAGCGGAAGTTTATCCTGAACAAATACATGAATGCTAGGCCGGCTTGAGGAAACAATTCTGAGATTAGCTGCGTAGAACGTTCAACTCAACGACTTTGAAATCCGTTTATTTAAGATTTCAGCAGCTGTGTCTCCTTCAAATTCCATATTTATAAGTAGGGTTTTATTTTATACTGTGGATGCTTTTTCATGATCAATTCTAAGCGTTAAGTTGCTATCGACGAATCTAGGTGGATAACCATTTCTAATGAGAGTCTGTCGAAGTTGAAGTAGTTCCTCATTCATTGTGCAGTTGAAAATATTCGCTTGATCCTTGAGGATAAAGAGTGAATTAATTTCCTCTTTCTACCTAGTGGTAAGCATCTCAGAACACTATCTGGCTTAACTTTGAAAAGGAGAATGTAAAACAATTACTGGTTCTATACAGGAGCATTTAATCAATTGTGGACATATCACTCCAAATGATTCTTCTTTTAAATTAATTTACAAAGTCAAAGGTACTGGATCGAAGAAATGTCGAATCGATATTTTATACACGGCTGAGCCATTGGCAATCCATGAACTCAAACCCTAACTTTGAGTGTGGAAACGATTCGTCCAAGCTCTCATCCTTCGGTGGTCCTGACTCTCTTTATTTGTATGTTTCGGGTTGTTATTTTCTTTAATTCTTCACTCTTATTTGATTATTATTAAAGTCTTTAAATGATCGTTTTGCAATTTTAATCTCTAATCAGTTATTGTTATTATTATTACTACCCTTACATTAGTTTGCTTGATTATTATTCAGTCTTTTATTATGATTATAACCTTTATGTTTATCGTTTTTCTTCAGATCTTACCCATAAACTATATTCTTCCTTATCCCCTGATTATTGCATAACCACATTTGATAATTAGAGTTTCGAATTGATTTATCATGCAATCTTTTCTATTCTCCTATAGGCATATATTTTCCATATATAACTATATATATACGAATGTACAACTGAAGTAAATGATTTTGTCGAAAAGAAAAGAAACTTTTCTTCACTGAATTCTTTTCTTCTTATATTATTATTACTATATAACAATTGCTATAACAATAACAAGTGAATTTAAACTTCATCCCATTGCACATGCAAGTGGCTATCAAGACTCAATAGCTGAGTAGATAACGCGATGACGTTTGAAGCGAATGGTACTGGGTTCAAGTCTCAGAATGAACATCAACTTTGAGATGCAGGTACATCCAGCTGACGAGTCCCAAATAGGACGAAACGCGCTCCCTGAATTCCACTACTAACCACTATCTATCATTGTTTATTATTATTATTGTTATACCTTTTATATTTCATAAAAATTAGCATGATTAATTTCTTGATAATAAATCACTTTTTTTTAAATACCCACCATAAAATTGAAGCATAGTAACTAACCAATCAAAATTGAGAAGACTATTTTCAACAACAAAAATTTTTTTTCGGAACAACATTTAAAAATCGATTATTTTGATCTTTCATTATGTTAATTGAATAA